ACATCTTACCCTAAAGACCCCCTTGCAGAGTGGACAGCACGATGCCCTTTCCACAGATGAGGAAATCAAGGCCCAGAAGACCTGGATTTAAACCGAGATTGAAGATGGCCATGTCTCTCTGCAGCCCTGGCTGGGACCTACCATGTGTGCCAGTCCTGTGCTTGGCACTGTTAGGGGCACAGTGACTCAGACCTGGCCCTCAGAGAACCTGCAGCCTATCACCTGACTCAAAGCCCCTCCAGGTGGTGGGCACTGTTCTAGAGGGTCTCTGGGATAGGGAAGCGAGGAGAGAGGGGTGGGCCTGGACTGGCAGAGACGGTGGCACAGCATTCAGGTAGAAGAAACAGCAAAGGCTCGAAGATAGGAGGGAGGGACCTCTTCAGAAGAGAGTTGGTGTTTGTGTGGACAGAGTCCGGGCCACATGCTGGAAGCAGCTGAAGGGAGACAAGAGGCTTCCCATGGCCTCGGCCTCCTTCCCAAGACACTAGGGAGTGATCTCAGACTCTGAGCAGGGAGTGACAAGCCGGAGACTCACAGGCCCTTTAAGGGGTCCACGCAGAGCTTCTCCAAGCAGTGCCATTCTACCTCCAAGCACCCAGCCCACAGAGACAAGGGCTGGGAGGAAAGCGGAGGCTCTGATCCTGCAGTGACCCTTTCCAAGCCCTAGGGAAGCTCAAGGGGTGCAGAGCCCTGACGCCCTGAGCAAGCCCAGCCAGATCCGGCTACTGACCCCTTCAGCCGCCTGCCTGGATTCGGACAGCCCTGCTGAGTCATGACAGTGAGAGCTCCTGCCTGGCCTTTCTCCTGCCTGGACTGGGACCAGAGGCAGCTGCTGTCACCACAGGACATTAGGGGCTAGGAGGAATCACAAAAAACCTGCTGCACGAACCGGCCAGAATGATGCCCACCGTGCAACCCCAGGTCCAAAAAAACAACCATAAAAGAATATGTTGATAAGCCGCTTGCCTGTGCCCGTTTTGAGAAAAGATGCCATCTCGCCAGTAACAGTATCCGGCAGGCACCGAGGCGGGCCCGGGGCTGGGCTGGCCTCATGGCCACAGGATCTCCTTCATCAACTTCGCTTCCATCGCCTCCGCTCTCTGCTCCTCGACCCTGCCCCCTCCCAAAATCTTACCCTCCGCCCACCACTCACCCCTGCGGTCTAGTGCTCATCACCAGAGCAGTAGCTGCCCACCTCCCAGCTCTGCACCCGGGCTCCCCTCCATACCAGGACTGCAACAGTCCTTCTACCTTGTGGGATCCAGGACTCGGCGCCCCTCCTTCAGCACCGTCCCGATGGACTCACGTCCCTTTAGCTGCCCCGGACTCCTCTGGCATCTTGCAGCCACTCCCCTGCACACGCACGCCGTGCAGCAGCCCCATTGCTGCCTGGCCAGGCTCCTGCGTGCCCAAACCTACTCTGTCCACACCTTGCCTGCTCCCTGCAGAGGAGACAAAATCTCATCACACATCCCCAAGGGGCACCAGCAGCTACCATCCCTCCCTGGTGCATCGGCTCTCCCGCCTCTCTCTCCTCAAACTTGCAACACCTCCCTAAGCACAGGGGCCTACTTTGCTGCTTATTTCACTGGCCCTTCTGGTCCTCCCAACACAGAGCTCCGTGTGTGTCCACACGATCACTCTCACCGCCTGCAGCTGGCGATGAACTCTTGGAGCCAAGCCCTCCAGTCTGCTCTGGGTTCCATCCCTTCTCACAGTCTCAGGACTCTGCTCAAATATCCCTCCTGCCAACATCATCAAGGGTTCCCTTTCTAACATGCGATCCGTCAGCACACAAGCGAGTTGTAATCACCCCCCTGCTTGAAAACAAAGCTTCAATAACAAGAAGAGGCAGTTATAGGAAGAACCAAACAGGGATTCTGAAATGGAAGTCATACATTCCGAAATTGAAATGCTAGTGATTTGGGGCTGGGTGCGGTGGCTTGATGGGAATGAATCCAAAAAACAAAGCTATGCAATGAGAGAAACTGAAAATGAGTGTCAATAATACTTTCACAGAATTTTGTTGTAAATAGAAGCAAAAGGGGTGGTAGCTTAAGAAGAAAGAGGTGCTCAAATGGAGGGTGACTTTTTGGAAAACACAGAAAAAAATGGCATATTTGTACATTGATGGGAATGATCCAGTAGAGAGGGAAAGATAAATGCCAAAGAGAGTTGTGAGCAGGCAAAGGGGGGTGGGCTCTAGGCACACAGTGATGAGTTTGCATGGATGAGAGACCAAACTGGGTGGAGGGAAGGCAGAATGTGGGGCACCAAGGCAGGCGAGCTGGCGAGAGAATTAGACTGTTTTGTTTTAGTGAAATAAGAAGAAAGGTCATCTATTGAGAGAGAGGATGGAAGAGAAGGTGGTACGTAGGTTTGAAGAGGGAAGATGGTGTCAAATAGCCCTTGGTTTATGTGTTCAAATATAAGGGTAACAGAAATAAAATGTACAACTGACAGACCAAGACAGAAGAAGAATATAACAAGAAAAGTTAATGTATACAGTAGAAGTTAGGAATAAGGAAACCAAGATTTAAAGGGAAACTCTGGTAAACAAGAAAACATATAGTAAGTCTAAACATGTCAATAATTACAATAAATGTGAACAGGTTAAAATCACTAATTAAAAGGCAGAGGCTTTTCTTCTGGATTTTAGAAAAAGAAATGTAAAGCTTATTTGGCAGCTAAGTCTGATGAAGCTAAACATATCAGTTACTAAAACAAAGTCTGGACATATTTCCACCAAACTGTAAACAGTAGTGTAACTCACTGGTTGCATATATGAGTGATCTTTATTTTCATTACACTTTTCAATATGTTCTGAATTTTTTAGGAAGTGTATAAATTATTTCATAATTAGAAAAAATGGAAGTTTAAAAAAAAATCATCCATGCACTTCAGCAAGTCTTCATGGAGCCTTTATTTGTTATACAGATCCCTTCCAAAGAGGCTCTAAAGAAGGGTCCCAGACTGCCAGGAGCTTGCTGAAAATAAGACCAACTGGACCATAACAGAATAATGCAGGACATGGCTGGGTGCTGTGACTCACATCACTTTGGGGGCCGAGGCAGGTGGATCACCTGAGGTCAAGGGTTCAAGAAGAATGCAGGACAGTGTAAAGATGGGACTCCACTGAAAACTCTGAGCCCTGGATATAGGCAGGAATAAGCAAAGAGAGCCTGCTGGGGGAGGCAGTATTTGGAATGTTCCCAGTCCACATAGTATGTGGCCTAAGGGTGAGCGTGGAGACAGCATTCCAGGCTGGAGGTCTAGCATGAGCAGGGATGGGAACTGAGCAAGTACGTGTAGGGCACATGGTGGCAGCAGTGGATGAGTCAAGGTGCAGAGTCCAGGGAGGCAGAGAAGTTGGCTTGGTAAGCCATGTGGAGGGGCAGGAGAAAGAGTAGGTGAAGCAAAAAGAAGTAGATGGGAGGGGAGTTGTGCCTCAAATGGAGAGTTTTGTTCCCAAAGCACATAAAACGAAACACCTGGGTTGCCATCACTGCTGCATTGCACATATACGCATGCACACATGTACACACATGCACTTGTGCAAACGTGCACACATACACAGGCATGTGCACACACCTGCATACACATACACTTCTTCTTCTTCTTCTTCTTTTTTTGAGACAGTCTTACTCTGTCGCCCAGGCTGGAGTGCAGTAGCATGATCTTGGCTTGCTGCAGCCTCTGCCTCCCGGGTTCAAGAGATTTTCCTGCCTCAGGGTCCCAAGTAGATGGAATTACAGACAGCACCACCACCACGTTTATCTAACTTTTGTATTTTTAGTAGAGCCGGCATTCTGCCGTGTTGGCCAAGCTGGTCTTGAACTCCCAACCTCAAGTGATCTGCCCACCTCAGCCTCCCAAAGTGCTGGGATCACAGGCATGAGCCACCCCACTTAGCAATACACACACAGACACACATGCACACACACACACACACACTCTCTCTCTCTCTCTCTCTCTTTTTAACTCCTCTATGTACTCTGGACCTTTTGTTTAGAGAATTAGCTATTGAGACCAAGGGAGGTCTCTTGGCCTTGGTCTAGCCTTTCCTGAATCCCACACTCTGTGCCAGCACACACTGCTGCCTGCCCCCCTGCCCTGGTAAGGCATTGCTAGCTGTCGTTGATTGGGAGCCCCTTGGCTTTTAAGCAGGATTTGATCCAAGGGTTTGCAGTGTGGGGTGGGTCCAGGGGCAGGAGTCAAGGCAGGAAGACCAGGGCAGGAATAGCTGTGGAGTTGGGGAGGTGGGGAGAGAGAAATTCTTAGGAGGCAAAACTAGCAGGGCTTGGCCCCTGGCGGTATCAGGAGGCAGGGAGCCCGAGGCATGAACCAAGATGCTGGGTTCCAGGGCAGGGACCATGACGTGGGAGGCCATAGCTGAAGTGGGGCTCTCAGGAGGTGTAGATTTGGGGAGGGGACAGAGATCTCAGGGTGGCATTGGACACACTGAACTTGGAGAGTCTCTGGGGTGTCTGCTGATGCTGGGAAGCTCCACTGAGGGCTCAGGACAGGGCAACTGCAAAGGGGGTACAGGGCATCAATCACAGCAGGTGAGTGGAGGCAGGGGCCAGGGGTGGGGCCACGAGCAGGGCCAGGCTGCACAGCCTGGGAGGCACAGAGGCTGGGCAACTTCAGTGACCCAGGGCCGCCCAGAGGCCTGTACAGCTCCCCAGCCCCAAGTTAGGGGGACCCTCTGGCCCGCCTTCTCCTGGCTTAGCCACCCTGGGATGTGGGCAGGCAGGGGCACTGAAGGGAGCAGGCAGCGGCACTGAAGGGAGCAGGCAGCCCTGGCATCCCACAGCAGCCAAGAGAAGAACCCAGGCCTCCCCCAGACCTGGCAAAGACCAGGCTGGCACCGGCCCACAGAGTGGGGGAGGCTGAGGTTCCCTCGCGCCTGAGCCTCCCTCAGCACTAGTTAAATTTTGACTGAGGAAATGATTGCTGAACTCCGTTCCATAAGCATCACCTGGTCACACTTTAATTCCAGTCTGGAATTAACATCTTCAGTCTCCACACTCCGTACTTCCCAAAGTCAGCTTTTCTGGGAGGGCTGGGGCAGCTGCCTCTCTGGGGAGATGCTGGAGGTCTCAGAATCACCTCGTGCAGCCTCAGGACCTGGTTGGAGCCACCCCAAGTGACACCAGCAGTCAGATGCCCAGAGAGCCTGAGCCTCCAGCCCGAGTCTGCGAAGCCAGCGGCTGCTGACATGCTCCCAGCTGCCCAGCTGGAGAAGCCACTGTGGGCACCACTGTGGGGGAAGCAAGCCTGCCACCTGGGCCCCTTTGCTCTGGGCCAGTCCCTGTGAAGTGGGCCCCTCTCCTGGGCCCCTTGATCAGGTTCTATGGCATTTTCTGAACTCCTGGACCTCGTGGGTGGCCTGGGCAGGTTCCAGGTTCTCCAGACAGTGGCTCTGATGGTCTCCATCATGTGGCTGTCCACCCAGAACATGCTGGAGAACTTCTCGGCCGCTGTGCCCAGCCACCGCTGCTGGGCACCCCTCCTGGACAACAGCACAGCCCAGGCTGGCATCCCAGGGGAGCTAAGTCCCGAGGCGCTCTTGGCTGTCTCAATCCCGCCGGGCCCCAACCAGAGGCCCCACCAGTGCCGCCGCTTCCGCCAGCCACAGTGGCAGCTCTTGGACCCCAACGCCACGGCCTCCAGCTGGAGCGAGGCCGACACAGAGCCGTGTGTGGACGGCTGGGTCTATGACCGCAGCACCTTCACGTCCACCATCGTGATGAAGGTAGGGCCTCCCCCAGAGCCACTCGAGTCCGGCACCGCGGAGGTCAGGGCCATGGATCACAGTGGGTCGGACTCAAAGGTCCCGTCCTGGGAGGGACCCGCCTCCCCAGGCCCCGCTCACTCTCGAGCCTCTCAGCCTCTTGTCAGCCACACACAGGGGAGTGGGCGGCAGGGATCGGTCTACAGACCAGGCCAGCCCAGGCTCCTGGAGGTGCGGGGGGCATTTGGGCGGGCACCTCTGAATGCTGGCTCCTGGTTCCTCACCGGCCTCACCTGGTCCCGGCCCTGCTGACGCATCAGCCATGACTCTGGTCAACTCAGCCTCAGGGGACTCAGTGATGATTCACTGGATTCCCCGAGCCCAAGGCACACAGGGTAAGGGACCACCCCAGGCTGCCTCCCAGAGTGGGCACTGGGCAAATCCAGGCAAGTGGAGAGGGGCAGCTCCTTCCAGCAAGTGGGAAGGACCTCTTTATAAAGAACGGGAGGAAGCAGCCTCTGGGAGGAAGCAGCCTCTGGGAGAAGGGCCAGGGTATCAGCTCGGGTGGCTGCTGCCAAGTGGAGAGGCAGGAGAGAGAGGCAGATGTGGCTAGAGACCCACTGGGCAATAGGGAACCATGGAGGAGCTTAGGCAGAGGATGGCTCCTCCAAAGGCCAAACTATGCTTGCGGGTGCTCTCCCTGTTCCACAGGGTGTTGCTCTAAAACCCTAGAGGTCACCAGGCCACCCACCCCGCCCATCTCCCTGGGGGCCTCTCATGCAGTTCCTCTGCCCCTCTGCCAGGGCTCTCCCAGCCTCCTGAGCTCAGCCCCCTCCTCTCCCACCAGTGGGACCTGGTGTGTGACTCTCATGCCCTGAAGCCCATGGCCCAGTCCATCTACCTGGCTGGGATTCTGGTGGGAGCTGCTGCGTGCGGCCCTGCCTCAGACAGGTGAGTACACCCAGTCCAGACAGGCCCCCATTCCCCTCACCGCCCCTGCTCTCCTAGACCCCTGGCCCCAACTGGCCCCAAACAAGCCTCACAAAACCCAGTCTAGAAAGCACCCTACTTATTGGGTGTGGGTCTCGCACTTGCCACCCTGCAGCTGTGCCACGTAGGGAGACCTGGAACCCTCTCTGAGCCTCGAGTTCACCAACTTTACCCTGGGAGTGGTAGAGGATTGCTGCTCCCCAGCAAACATTTGCTGCTAAAACGGGGTTGGCCAGGCACCCGCCTTCAGCTGCTGCCTGAGTGCTCCCAGCGGCTGGAACCCTTCCCTTTGGCTCCAGCCTTGGGATGCTCCTTGTGGTCGAGTCTTCCATAGGTGGAAAATGCGGGTTTCACCCAGGTGCCGCTTCAGTGTGATCTCAGCTCACTGGGCAAGCACAGGGTGGGCTCTCGGTTGTCCAGACCCCACCCCACCCCCGGCCAGTGCTGTGTCAAGCCACAGACCCCACCTCTTCCTGGTTTGTGCCGCAGGCTCGGGCGCAGGCTGGTGCTGACCTGGAGCTACCTTCAGATGGCCGTGACGGGCACGGCAGCTGCCTTCGCCCCCACCTTCCCTGTGTACTGCCTGCTCCGCTTCCTGTTGGCCTTTGCCATGGCAGGCATCATGATGAGCACAGGCAGTCTCCGTAGGTCTCCAAACTGGCGCCATGCAGGGGGGCTCCATGCAGGCTCCAGGGCTGACCCACTTGGTCTCCTTGCAGTGATAGAGTGGACAGCGGCGCGGGCCCGAACCTTGGTGATGACCTTGAACTCTCTGGGCTTCAGCTTCGGCCATTTCCTAATGGCCGCGGTGGCCTACGGAGTGCGGGACTGGACGCTGCTGCAGCTGGCTCTCTCGGTCCCCTTCTTCCTCTTCTTTTTGTGCTCATGGTGGGTTCAGCACCCCACTCCCCTCCTCGGAGGAGATCCTGCCCACTCTCCAAATGGGAGAATGGGAGACTCTCCTTTCCCTGGGGGCTGGGGAGTGCTAGAGGCTAGGGGTGCATGGGCAGCAGGAAAGCCAGAAGCCTGGCAGAGTGGACCAGCCACAAGCCCGAGACACCCACACCAGCCAGGGCTCAGGTCCCCAGGGCGCCTCTCCTGCTCCTTCCAAGTACACCTTCTCCTACTCATTCTTCTCCTTTCCTCCCTCCTTCTCCTCACCTCTTGGCCTGTTCCCCTCTCCTGTACCTGCCTGCCTTGGCATCTGTGCTGCCAAGCCCATCTTCTAAGCCCCTCTTCTGTGCCAGGGATGGCAGCACTGAGCTAGGCTGGGGGAGCGGGTGGAAAGATACAACACACACACGCACACACAGCACAAAACCTCAGTCTGCCTCATAGGCTGACATTATCGATGCATGTGTCTGTCTGCTAGAGAACAGGGACCAGGACCCACTCATCAGAGAGGACCCCACAGTCCCCCACAGGGCCAGCATGTGTGGGAAGTTAGGACATGTCGGCACTCACCTGAAATAAATCAGGCTTGGTCTTTGCCAAGCACCTGGCACATAGTAGGTGCTAAATAAATATTTGTTGAATGAATGGATTGATAGGTAAGTAGAAATAGATAGGTAGATAGAGATAGACAGATAAATGGGTTGACAGATGGGTGGATTGGAGGAGTTCACGGGTGAGTTGGATAGATGGATTGGATTGTATAGTTAATTGAATGGATGGTTGGTTGGAAGGATGGATGAATGGATGGATGGATGGTTGAATTGATGGATAGGTGGATGGATGAAATGGATGGATGGATGGGATGGATGGATGGATGGATAGATGGAATGGATGGATGGATGGTTGAATGGATGGATGGATGGATAGATGGGATGGATGGGATAGATGGATGATGGGGTGGATGGATGGATGGAATGGACAGGTGGATGGATGATGGATTGAATGGTTGGATGGGATGGATGAATGGGATGGATGGATAGATGAATGGATAGATGGGATGATGGATGGATAGATGGGATGGATGGATAGATGGATGGATGGATGGATGGTTGAATGGATGGATGGATGGATGGAATGGATGGATAGATGGATGAATGGATGGATGGGATGGATGGATGAAATAGAATGGATGGATGGATGGATGGATGGAATGGATGGATGGATGGATGGATGGATGGATGGAATGGAATGGATGGATGGATGGATGGTTGGATTGTTGAATGGATGGATAGATAGATGAATTGGATGAACTGGATGGATGAATGGATAGATGGATGGACAGAGGCCATTTGTGGGCGGGGCTGAGCCTGGCTCATTTATACACAGGCCCTGCATTTAGTAGTTGTTTGGCCATTGGGACCACCACAGAAAGGAGCACAGCAGAGGCTCAGTGGTGAACAGGTGCCAGCACCCATACTGGGAAGAAGGCTGACTCCACAAATCTCCCCACCCAACAGCCTGGAGTGGAATAACAATTTTCAGGCACTCCTTAGAGCAGGAGACAATTACATCTCACACAGTGGCTCCACAAAGAGGCAATCATGTCTGACAAGAGCATTCTGGGGTGGCAGCTTGACCCCCCCAACACCAAGAGGGTAGAGAGTAGAAGGTAAAAGTTCTCCTATGCTGATGCAGGGCCACAGAGCTGAACCCCCTTTCCTTGGTATACATGCACCCACAGTGCTGAAGAAGTGCCCATTCATTCATTACTTCATCCATTCAACAAATAACTACTGAGCACCTATCATGTCCCAGGAGCAGCTGACACCAGCTATGAACAGATATGTGGTCTCTGCCGACGTGGAGTTCATAGGGAATTCCACACATCGTGGCCTCACAAACTGTGCCTAGGGCTTGATGAACAAGCTGGAGTGTGGACATCTGAGAATGGGGCTCGCTTTCTCCCTCCCAGTCGCCTCCAACACATCCCAGCCAGCTTTCTCCCTCTTCTCCACCAAAACTGCCCTTCCCAGGGTCACCCACAATGAGCCGACCACCATTATTTGCGGTCTGCACTCTCCCCCTCAGGCAATCTCACCCTTGCTTGCAGCCCCAGCTCCCTCCAAATGCTGCAGACCCCAAATCTCCACTCAGTCCTGCCTCCCCCAGCAACCTCCAGCCTCGCGCCTCCAACTGCCCATGTGACGGCTCCGTTATTGGTATCTCATCCCCACAAACATCTCCTTAGGCCTCTCCTCCCGAAGTCTTCCCCAGCGTGGGGAACAGCCCCCAAACTCACCAGATGTGGAGTCACAATGGCCATGATGCCTCTCTCTCCCTCACCATCCCCCCACCAAGTGCACCAGGTCACCAGGTTCATCAACTCTACCTCTAATATGGAGGTAGATGGACCTGGAATCCCCACATCTCCCGCCGTTCTGAAAATCCCCAAGGAGGGTGTCCCTAAAATCCCTAAGTCCCGGTGGGTGTGGGGCAGGTGGCACCACCCTGGCTGCTCATAGGGGACAGCATGTCTGGCTGAAGGACCTCCAGGAGCCAAGGCCTAAGGCAGGTGCATTGTAGAGTGGTGGGCGTGACAGGCACTCAGCAGGGTGGGCGGGGTGGCGCACGGAGCTCGGTTAGACGCTGAGGGGAGTGGGAACCAGGTCAGTGTGAGGGCTGGGTCCTGCCTCGAGGAGGGGAGGGGCTGGGTTCATGAGGCCGAGGTAGCGGGGACTCAGGTGTGAGGGGCGCTGGAGGCCTGGGAACCGGCTGACTGGGGGCAGCCAGAGGGCGCTGGTGCTGTGGGGACCCTGCCTGCAGCCTGAGCCCCGGGGTGGCAGTGAAGCTGTCTGCAGGAGGATGCAGCTGTGGGGTGGACAGGAAGGCCGTGTGGTATGGGAGATGCCCAGACAGGGGTGGACCCCGACAGCCCTGCAGACAGTGGTCCCTAGCCGTAAGGGCCCTGACTGCAACCAAGTCAGGTTCCTAGTGAGGCAGGGGAAGGGCTGTGGGGTCCAGACGGAGGCAGGAAGGGGACAGCAGAGTCCTCCCTCTCTCCACCCCAGCAGCCAGCCCCAGGATGAGAACTACAGACCACCAACCGCAACCCCCCAGGAGGGAGAGGAAGCAGAAGGGGTCACCTGCTGGGGAAGGAGGGCGGCCGAGAGGGCATGGCTGCCACAACGCCCTTGGGGGTCCTCACAGCCCTGAGCCCTAGGCCTGGAGGAGGGGGTACAGGGGGGCGGTCTGAGGCTGGGGCAGGCCAGGTCCTGGGGGCCACAGGCAGTGACCCCTCCCACACCCCCTCTTCAGGTGGCTGGCAGAGTCCGCACGATGGCTCCTCACCACAGGCAGGCTGGACCAGGGCCTGCAGGAACTGCGGAGAGTGGCTGCCATCAACAGGAAGCGGGCAGTGTGGGACTCGCTGACCCCTGAGGTGAGGCTGGGTCCTCCTCAAACCTGGACCCTCAGACCCTCTCTCTGGCCCTGCACAGGGCACCCTGGGAGACTCACCAAGCACCTGAGCTCCCTGGGAAGAAGGTCTCAGAGAGGAGGAGGTGCCCGGCACCCCCAGTGCCAACAGCACCCACTGTCACCTCCACAGGTCTTGTTTTCAGCCATGCGGGAGGAGCTGAGAGTGGGCCAGGCTCCTGCCAGCCTGGGCACCCTGCTCCGCATCCCCAGCCTGCGCCTCCGGACCTGTATCTCCACGTTGTGCTGGTAGATGCCCTTCACCCAAGCCCACCTCCACAGGGGAACCTGGAAACTCAGCCGCCAGCTCTCCCAGCTCCACTTGGTCCCCTGGCCTGCAGCAGTCACCTTCCCCTCTGTCAGTCACTCCTGACAGGGGACAGCCCAGGCTGGGTGGGCTCACTGAGGGGGCTTTAATAAGGGGCAAAGCAGATAGAAGTGATGAATTCGATCCCTAACAAAGCTCCTGGGAGGGCTGGGAGCCAGGCGGGACGTGGGGCTATCCGGCAGAGCATGGGTAGCAAGCACCCTTGCCTGGTGTGAAGGGGCTGGGGAGGGTGGAGCAGGCTTACCAGAGTCCAGGACCCTCGGTCATCCAGTAAAGACCAACACCACCCAGGCCAAGGAGGGAGGGCCTGTTCAGTGGCAGCTGGAGCCATGGAAGGGACACAGTCACTCCCAGACAAAGCCCCTATGCAGAGAGGGAGGCAGAAACCCCCTGCTTCCCCCCTCCTCCAGCCTCTCACCAATGCCTCCCATCAGCCAAACCCAAAGGGAAACCATGTCGGCAAGGGGACCTGGGAAACACAGTCTAGACACTGGCCCCGCCACACAGAGCCAGCAGCTGAAGGGCCAGAAGAGCAGCGCCCTTCTGGCCCCTGCCCCCTGCCCATCACCCCCACCCTGTCCACTGCCCCTGCCCTTACGCCCCCTGCCTACCACCTCCACCCTGACCACCCTGACCCCCACCCCCACATTGACCTCCCTACCTGCCACCCCCACCCTGATACCCCCTGTTCACCACCCCCACCCTGACTCCTTCCCCCCACTGCTCCCACTCTGACTCCCCTGCCCCCTACCCGCACCCCCAGGTTCACCTTTGGCTTCACCTTCTTCGGCCTGGCCCTGGACCTGCAGGCCCTGGGCAGCAACATCTTCCTGCTCCAGACACTCATTGGTGTTGTGGACATCCCGGCCAAGACAGGCACCTTTCTGCTGCTGACCCACCTGGGCCGCCGCCCCACGCAGGCCACATCCATGTTGCTGGCAGGGCTCTGCATTCTGGCCAACACACTGGTGCCCCAGGGTAAGGGTACAAAGCTGTGTACCAGAGGCTTCCCTACCTGGGGGAGCTCGAGCTGGGAACAGAGACTTTGGCCCCTCCTCGGAGGTGCTGGATAAGAGCAGATCCCCAGTTAGGGAGGAGGCTGCTGGAGCCATCTAGGGACAGTGACTGCGCTGGGCCAGCAAGAGCCATGAAGGAGTGGCAGGGGTGGCGCCAGGGAAAAGTGTGGAGATAAAATGAGAATTGAGTGATGGATTGCAGCAGGAGGAAAACGGGGGTCAAGGAAGGGTCCCAGGGTCTGGCTCTGGGTGTCTCAGTGTGGAGCAGATTGTGGGTATGGCCATGAGGTCACTCAGGACAGGATACCCAGGTGGAGATGACTCCCAAACATTTGGAGAGAGGCCTGCAGCTCAGGCATAAGCCACCTGGGCTGAAGGGAGTTCCCATCTGATCTTGGGCCCCCCACCAAGCTCACTAGTCCCATCTTACCCACAGAAATGGGGGCTCTGCGCTCAGCCCTAGCCGTGCTGGGGCTGGGCGGGGTGGGGGCCGCCTTCACCTGCATGACCATCTACAGCAGCGAGCTCTTCCCCACCGTGCTCAGGTGAGGCTGGGCCTGGGCTCCAGGAGAGGGATGCCCTGGGCTGGGCCGAGGGGCACCCCCGGGCAGGAGTATCTTCCCTCAAACCTAGATGTCCATGTCATGTGTCTCCCTCTTGTGTGGTCTCGGGGATGCTCAGGTGTGTCCCAAGCCCAGCCTGATCCTCTGGACCCCCCTGGGCCAAATAGGCCTGGCCCAGGGTGCAGGGTCAAGGTCAAGGGCAGGCAGACTAGGCACTTAGGTGCATCTGCATTGGCAGGATGACCGCAGTGGGCTTGGGCCAGATGGCAGCCCGTGGAGGAGCCATCCTGGGACCTCTGGTCCGGCTTCTGGATGTCCACGGCACTTGGCTGCCCTTGCTGGTGTACGGGATGGTGCCAGTGCTGAGTGGTCTGGCCACACTGCTTCTGCCTGAGACCCAGAACCTGCCGCTGCCCGACACCATCCAAGATGTGCAGAACCAGTGAGTGGACCCAGCCTCAGGACCACCCCTCCCTCCCACCAGAGAACCCCAGCACAAGGCAGCCTGCTCATCCATCCCCGCCACTGGACAGAGGGGGAAACAGAGGCCCAGGCACATGGAATTGGCCCAGAGTCACACAGCACACCTCTGGGAGAGTGGTGACCCAGGGCCCGGTCTTGGGCTACCAGGGCTTTGACCCAGGGCTTTGTCCTCTGCCCTTTACTCCACCATTTGAGGCACGAGTGGCCAAGCTCCCCCAAGTCCAGCCCGAGAGAGACCAAGGGGAAAGAATTGGATGGTCCTTCCTGAGAGGGAGATCCAGCCATTGCTGTGTGCCCTCACAAGCCTCAGATTCTACCTCTAAAGCCCTGATGGCTGACAGGGCAGTCACTGCACACCCCACCCCCATCACATGCTCCGTAGCTCAGTTCTGGGTCCCCGAGAGCAGGGTGGTGGCATCCCCTGAGTCCCTGGGATGGACACAGGTCAAGGGTCAGGGGTCACTCTGCACCCCAAGACACACTCCCATGTGTTTTCTGAACAGGGCAGTAAAGGCGGCAACACATGGCACGCTGGAGAACTCTATCCTGAAATCCACACGTTTTTAGTGTCCTGGGGAGCCTGCAATGGGATGATCGGAGGAAGAGTCTTCTTCTGTCATCTGGAGAAAGCAGGAGGAGAGCAAAGGCCTCCACTTCCACAGGACCCAGAAGCTGCCCTCTTAGGTTCCCACTCTCCCAAGGGGTGCCCCTCCATCTGAGCTCTGCCCCTCTCACAACAAAGGGGCCCCCTTCAATACTGAAGGGGCAAAGGACGGTTTGATTGGCAGGAGGTGGCCCAGGGCATCATCACCCTGCTCTGCCCTTGTGGCTTTGGAGAGCAGAGGAGCCAGGCCCAGGGGAACCAGCTGGCCTTGCCAACTCTCTGCTTGCCCCCTCACTGCCACTTGTCCCCCCACTGCTGTTCACCTGCCCAGAGCTCAGAGCTAACCACCATCCATGGTCAAGACCTCTCCTGGCTCCACACAAGCAGTAGAGTCTCAGCTCTGCAGCTTTACCCAGAAGCCCTTGTGAGCCTGGCCCCCGGACCCTCCCCATGTCCCTCCAGACCTCAATCACCTGCGCGCCACATCCTCTACCTGCAGTCCTCTTCCCACCCTCATCCCTGACAGACCCTACTTAACCCCTAAACCCAGGCCAGTGGCCCTCCTTCCAGGGGTCCAGGGCCAGCCAGAAGTGCCCGTGAAACTCCTACCCACAGTTATAGCCACAAGCCTGCCTCCTCCCACCCTGCCAGCCTATGAGTTCCCAGAGGGTTGGGACAGTCCCATGTCCCCATGTCCCAGCTCCCCACACGGTGCTGGGCCAGAGGGGCATTGGTGTGAGGGATTGAATAAAGGAACAAATGAATGGCTGCCCCTCACTGACTCCAGTTATGAGCCCCCAGGATCCTCCCAGGTTGGGGGGAGGAGGAAAGTGCTGGGGGCTCCTTGCTGGGGTGGGCTTTCCCAAGCCAGCTTCCCTGCCCCATGTACCAGGCCAGAGTGGCTGCTGTTTCCAGCCCCAGTTGTGGGCCCGGTGCTGTGCTGGGCACCTCAAAGCATCATTTCACTTCACATTTTCCTGAACCCTGAAGGGCAAACATTACCCCATTTTACAGATGAAGAAACTGAGGCTTGAAAAACCTGTTGGCCCATGACACTCAGCTATGTGGGGGCAGTATCAGGATTTAAACCCTTCAGTAGGCCACCAGAGCCCCACTCTGGCCACAATACCCCAGACTCCCCCAACCCAGCCTCACTATCTGGGTGTCCAGTAACTCTCCTGGAGGCAGCGGCAAGGCCAGGGGCCCACAGTGTCCATGAGCATGGCTCGTGGAGAAATGCAGTGCAGCACACACAGAGGTCGGGGTGCAGGCGGGAGCCATTTGCTACCCAAGCAGGTCCCTGCTAGCCTAGCTAGTCACCTGCACCACCCCGGGGCCATGCTCAGATGGTCTCTGGGTCCACCTGTGCAAGCATTTATGCTTCCAGGCACCTCCACTGAGCGCTGTGCCCCCCACCCAACACACACACATTAGCTATGTGTGCACACTTGCCCACATGCACGTGCACACACACAGGGATGGGAAAACAGAAAGCAGCTCTTTGTCCCCACAGGAACGGGGGTCACTGCTTGGCCTGGTCTTGTCAGCTGCAGCTCCTGGGCCTCTGGGGGGCCATGTACTCCGGCTACCTACCTATGGTCACCCCTCAGTAAAGAACCGCAAGCAGGGATCCTGCTTGTGAAGATGCCTGAATACTAGGTCATCTCAGTCTGCCCTGGACTTCTTGTCTTTTGTCTATCTGCTGCCCAGCTGAGGCCCAGTGGCTTTTCTTACCCTTGAACAGCATTCTTGAGACCTTAGGGTTTCCAGAAGCTTCTGGAAGGTAGAACCCAGGGCTGGTGGGAGATGGCCCCCTCCTGTCTTCTGGGATATCCCTCCAGCTCACCCAGTGGGTCTGGGCTACCCCTCTGCCCACATCCTGAGGTTTGAAGCACCTGATGGCCCATGACACTCAGGTAAGTGAGGGCAGTATCAGGATTTAAACCGTCAGCAGGCCTCCAGAGCCCCACCTGGCCACATCACCGGGGCACAAGAACTGTCTGCTTCCAAACTAAGTCACCCCCCCTCGATTAACTCAAGAGGCCCTGGAAGCTGGGAGGGCCCAGGGCCCTGTCCCTCTGGGGAGTGAACAGCCTCACCATGGCCAAGTGGGTGTCAGTGAAGGGAAAAGGGCCTCCCTCAGCAGCAGCCACAAGCCCACCAGAATGGCAAGCTTTTGCTTGGGACACACTATGTTCTGATGCCCACCACAGGAGCTCCAACCTCAGAAGCTGTGAGGACACCCTGAGATGGAGGAGCCAAGGGAAAAAAGAACCCATAACCACCCCATCGTCTCATCCCCATGGCAGTAGAGACCTCAGGCAGCAAGGATGAGGAAAGTGGCTCAGGACCAACTTTGTCCATTCTCCTGCCTCCAGCCAAGCCCACAGCTCACCCAGAAGGAAGTATGGGAAGAGGCAGCACCAAGCCCCACGAGCTCCAGATCTGCCTTCAAGAAGGGGCTTCTATCCAGAAGAGCTGGGCACTGGCTGGGCTAGTGTTCCTCCTCCTGGGCGCTTGCATGATGAGGGCAGGTCTGTGAACTCCTTCCCCAAACCCCTGTCCTTCAGAGCCCTGAGGTGGAATCTCCTAACACATCCCTGTGAAGACCACCCACCAAGGAGCCAGGACGCCTGGAATCTCAGCCACCATCAGGCCCTGGACATACCATCAGGGACTGTCTGGGACACTACTGGGGTCACTGCCAGGCCAGCCACACCCTGAGGAGCTTAGCTCAGGCCCAGGTGCTAAGTTCAACATCAGTGGCACAAGATGATACACTGAGAAGCAGGTGACCATCTCTTACGATGGGTAAACTGAGTCAATGGCTGAGTCCAGGAATCTGTCCTCTTATAACCAAGCCCTTGAATGACGGGAACCCTGAGCCACCTTATGCAGAGGGAAAGACAAGTCTCACAGTCATATGGCAACCAGCAGGACTGGGGTCCATTCGTCCAACTCCTGGACTGCCCCTCTTCCTGCCCCCCTACCTGATAGGCTGTCCCCTCTCTTGTTTAGGGTCATTCTAGAAATTTCTGAGGTAAGGATATTCCTTCCCTTCCTAACACCAAGGAACCCTACCTGCCTGTCTTTATTTCTTTGGCTAGTCATGATGGGAGGAGGGGAATCCGAGCCAAGTCTCTATCCCTTGGTCCGAAAGAATAGTGACAGAGAGATTGTAACCCAGAGATTCTAATCACCAACCCAGGGACAGGATGTCCTAGCAAGATTGCACCAAACCAGGGCCTCTCCCAGACTCCCACAGCAGCTTAGAGCTGACCTCAATGATGCTGACTTTGGCTCTGAGACTGTGAGCAGTTGGGGGACAAGCAGGGCCTGAGCCTCACCCCTAGGCGGCTGGATCAGAAGGGCAAGGAGGGGCTGAGTTCATGCAAACCCACACCTGGGGCTCTGCTCTCTCACCCTTGTTAGGACTTTTCAGGAGGAATCTCAAGAGGTCCTAGGGGGCACCATGGTGGGGAGGGTCCCATGACAAAAGGTTCCTTCAGGGATGGAGAGAAGGAAGAGAAGTAGATGAGGCTGACCTCACCTCTAGAGACAAGTGGAGGCTGCTCAGGTCAGGACCTGCCACTCCCACTAAGGGATGCTCCCCAGCTGAAGGGTGGGGCTCCTGCAGGCATGGAGGCAGCCAGGCCTAAAGAGGGACTAGGCTTTTGAACTGCAAAATGCTGCCAGGATGAGTTGGCCAACAGCCAGAGCCCCCTGCAGACGAAGATCAAGATGCAGAATCGGGCAGTGGAGACGGATGGCAAGCCAAAGGTGTGAGGAAGCCTTGCGGAGTGGATGGCTGAGAAGCCGATCGAGGGAGGAGTCCTGAGTGACACAGCAAGGTTGAGCAACATCCCATGACTGCCACCCTCAAGGTCCATACCCCGCCTCGCTCTCCCCTCCTAACGATCCTGCACACGTGGGTATCTGTCCCTTGCGACTGAAAACTTAAAATACAAACCCAGCACTTAACACGTCCATCTGGACCACAGACTTGTTAGGGTCTCCACCAACGAGTAAACACGGTGGACAGGGTGGCCAGCACTCCTTCCACCTTCAGTCCCAGTAGCTGCCAACAGTCAACCAGAGTGGACTTGGGGGCAGGAAGGGTACCAGGGTCCAAATCCCAAGAGAGGAAAGAGAAAGAACACAGATTCTAGAGTCAGGCAGAACTGGAGGCCACTTAGACTCAGTCACTCATTCACCTCAAGACCTGGGAGCAGCCACTGAAGAAGGTCTCCAAGGCCAGGAATCCCCTCCTCCCTCCAAGGGCTGCTGAAGGATGAGGCAGCATCTGTCCCACACCCAGGTCAGTGCCCGGCACACATGCCCCAAGGTATGAGTCCATTAGCCATCCGGGGCAACCAAGGTCTCCAGGGATCTGCCTGCCTTCCTGAGAAGCTAAGGTCTGTGAACCTGCCAGAGACCAGCCACATTTCCTGCCTGGTCCTCAGCCCAGCAGGGACACAGGACACAGGATGCTGTGAGACAAAAACAAGTCATCCCAGGAACCCAAAGCTACGCTCAGCCCAAAAGTTCGGGAGCGACTTACCAGCTCTCAGCCCAAGCCCAAAGCCAGGATCTAACAGCACCCACCCCAAAAAAACTGCACAGGACCGTTGGAATTTGGAAAGTTTTTGTTTTCTTTTTCCCACACATTTCCGGGGTTGGGGTGTTTTCCAAGACTCAGACACATTTGTTAACAAAGAGAGCAAAAAAACTGGGGGAGCAGAGAGCCCGTGGGCAGAGAAGTGACCCCAGCAGTCTGTGGACAACACCTTGCTCCCTTTTCGCTGCTGCCCGCGCCCAGCGGGTGCCACAGGCTGCTGCTCGTGGAATCTAGAGTATTTGTCTGTAATATATATCTGCATTTGCCTTTCCCCTCCCTCCCACCCCCCACCCCTGCTCCTCCAGCAGCTTCCCCATCAATGCACATCGCCCGGCGGCACACACAGAACAGGCCTTCAGCCAGGCCTGAGCCCCTTCCCTGGGCGGCACCAAGCAGGTGCCTCTCCTGGTGAGGGGAGTTGGGGCACTTGGGGACATGCCCACTGCCCCACCCCACCCACCCACTGGGCCACTCGGGCCCACCCTCCCACCAACTCTGGAAACCCAAAGGGAGGAAAGGAAGGGAGAAACCAGACACACAAAAAAAAAAGTGGGGAAGGAAGGTGGGGACAGTGAGACACAGCAAGCCTGGGATGGGGACTGGAGGGCTTGGAAAGAGAAGGAAGGCAGGAGGGACAGAAGGAGGAAGAAGAAAAATTGAGGAAAATTAACAGGACGAGTAGTGGACACTTTACAAAACCCCCAGCCTTCCTTCCCACCCAACCCCACCAAAATAAAACTACGCCCCTTAAAAAAATAAATCAACCCAGGGCTGTAAGCACGTGCCCTGCCTGGCAGGCGCAGAGCTGAGAGGGACAGTCAGACCCGGGACTGACGAGGCCGCGCGCGGTGTACGGCAGGAGGAAGGGGACGAGCACGGGGTTTTCCTTTTCTTTTTTTGCGTTTCCTCTTCGTGAGAGAAGCCTGAGGCAGCCAGGGAGAGGGTCCCCAGGCCCCTGGCAGGGAGAGGGCGGCACCCTCCTCCCGGTCCCTCCCAGGAGGGGCAGCTGGCAGTGGGACAAAGTGCCAGGGGCTCAGACGTAATACTCCTTGTCTTTGTTCTTCTTGGCCTTGCTCGGCGTCTTGGGAGCAGCCGGGGCCTTCTCTTTCACCACTGCCCCATTGCTCTGGGCCGAGTTACTGATGT